CTCACTGGGATTAAACATGACAATAGGTCTGATCTGATTTCATCATCATTTAAAAAATATCATCTATTATTTTTCAATTTATGTTTCTGTGTGGGAGCAAACTGTTGAAATCCTTACTTAATGTATACTAAGCTGATTGTCTGTATATTAAGATAATCGAAAATGAATCTTGATGTGAATGGAAGGGGAGAGGGAGTGGGAAAAGGGAGGGGAGTGGGTGGGAGGGACGGTATGTGGGGGAAGCCATTGTAATCCATAAATCGTACTTTGGAAATTTATATTCATTAAATAAAAGGTAAAAAAAATTAAAAAATTTATTTTAAACTGATACTTATCTAATATAGAATGTTAATGACAATAATGATGACTTGGAAGCCATTTATTCATAATCATATAGCTGACATTCATTTCCTTAATCCTATTTCTTCTGCTTTAGTTCAAAGATATTTTGAAGTTGCTTCTTGATAATAAATCTGATAATATTATAAAATATAAATAAACCATCCATTAATTTTAAATGGACAATAAGGAAAACTAATTAAATCTTAAGGAAAGAAATAATTTCACTATTGTGCCTTCTTTACTCGCCTGTGTAGTCAGACATGTTCATGCACCATGCACTAAGTTGTATGGCTGATTTTCAGCTATTTCTCCCTACACTGTCACTTGTTTTATTCAGATATGATGTTTAGTCCTCAGTTTATTCATCATATTAGAATAACTACTATATAGCAGCCACTGTGCTTGGGGCAATAGATATAGTAGGAATCCTAAGAGTTGTTATTCCTCAGTTCATAGTGTTTAGATTCCATTATAAAAGGAGAAGATAGGAACAAAATAAACTACTAATATTTTCAGATACTTATAATTGCTTTAACATTCAACAGATGTATATAATGAAGGGTTATCTTAAGCATATTTATTTTGCTAAGGTGGTAAAAGAAGGTTTTTTTAAAATATATGTTTGTGTTAAGACCTGAAGAAATAGTCATATAAAGAGAGGAACAATATGGTAGATTTATAAAACATAAATTGCAAAGACTAGTGATTCTTTGATATAGTAGGAAATGAGAAGTTACAGAGATGGGGAGGCACAAATTGCATAGGACTTTATAGGCCAATTGTGATGGAATGAGAAGGCCATGCCAAGGTGGCCGCTGGCAAGCAAGTATCAGTTACTCAGGAATGGCTTTCAATCCCACCTGGCAATGGAGCCTGCCTGGCAACAGGCTGTGATAGGATGGCTTTGGAGCCTGCCTGGCAACAGGCTGTGATTGGATGGATTTGAAACTGCCTGGCAACAGGCTGTGATTGGTTGGGGCATAGACCACCCCTTGACCAGATTGGCTGGTCTTGGCTGTATAAGATGTTGTACCAACTGAAATAAATGAGTTTGCGGGCTGCTTGCCTCAAGCCCGCTTTCACCCAACTTCTGGGGTCTGTGTGGTGACTCCTCGCCTCTTGCCCCCACCACACTCCTCCTCTCAGAAACCAATCCACTGCAACATTGTTGAGAAATCAACTGCAACAGCCAATGAAAAACTTAAACCCTCTAAGTGATGGAAAACCTCAAATATATTTCATTTAAGTCAATAAAGCAACCTGTTTTCTTTGGAAAATATCACTATTGCCACTATGTGGGAAGTGAATGGAAGGCCTGAAAGTCAGAGACCACATTCATGGACATTTCAGTGAGCCAAGTTGACATATGGAGGTTTAAAGTAAGGAGATGACATTGCAGATTGTGGGATACAAACATATATCCATGATACAGCTCAAAGGAGATGGATTATTTTGACAATGAAACAAAAAAAGGGATAAAATATTCCCATCAACTGCAGTGAAGATCAAGAGTTCTCATTTACTAAATTAAATTAAAACTGGCTTTACACACTGAATTTTTTGTTATTGTTTTTAAGATTATTTTATTTGAAAGGCAGAGTTACAGAGAGGCTGAGGGAGAGAGAGAGAGAGAGAGAGAGAGAGAGAGAGGGGTCTTCCATCTGCTCATCTGGCTCAATCCCTAGATGGCCACAATGACCAGAGCTGTGTAGATCCAGAGGCAGGAGCTTCTTTCGGGTTTTCCACACGGGTGCAGGGGCCCAAGGACTAGGGCCATCCTCCACTGCCCTACCATGACATAGCAGAGAGCTGTATCAGAAGTGGATCAGAAGGGACTGAACCAGTGCTCTCATGGGCTGTTGGTATTGAAAGCGGAGGCTTTACCCACAATGCCATAGCATTGGCCCCACACTGAAGTTTTAAGTAGTCAGTTAACCATGTGGCCCTTTGTACTATACAGAGGGTATAAATGACGGATGTATTTTCTTTTTTTTTTTTTTATTTTTTATTTTGACAGGCAGAGTGGACAGTGAGAGAGAGAGACAGAGAGAAAGGTCTTCCTTTGCCGTTGGTTCACCCTCCAGTGGCCGCTGTGGCGGGTGCGCTGCAGCCGGCGCACCGCGCTGACCTGATGGCAGAAGCCAGGTACTTATCATGGTCTTCCATGGGGTGCAGGGCCCAAGCACTTGGGCCATCCTCCACCTCCACTGCACTCCCTGGCCACAACAGAGAGCTGGCCTGGAAGAGGGGCAACCGGGACAGAATCCGTCGCCCCGACCGGGACTAGAACCCGGTGTGCCCAGCCCCCGCAGGGGGGAGGGATTTAGCCTAGGGAGCCCGCGGGGCCGGCCCCGGATGTATTTTTCAAATCATTAGCATTCCAATTATACATAATCTCACTAAACCTGATGATATCACCCAGGTAATAGTAGATTAGGGGGAGTCAATAGGCAAAAGCTCAGGGACTCTTAAACAGTTAGAGGATAAGCAGAGGAGACAGAAAAAGGAAAGCTATTGAAGGAGGAAAACCAGTCAGTGATGATGTCAGAGAAAGGAAGGGTGCTTCAAGAAGGAAAAAGAAATAGAATATTTTGAGCATTGTACAAAAGCAAAGATTATGAAACTCAAGTCCTAAGAAGGTGATAAAATACAATTACTGTCCACGAAGGACTTTTATTACCATTCAGCATTTATGTGGATTTAAGTATTATTTAGAGAACTTAAAAAAAATACAGACATGCAGATCTATTTCCCCATGCTTCCTATTCAGAAAATTTCAAAAATGTGTGCAGGGGTGGACATTTCGTTGATAAGACTCCTGCCTCCTACATTAGATCACAGTACCTGGGACTGTGCTGTGGTGTGGTGGGTAAAGCTGCCTGCTGCTCTGGCATCCCATATAGGCAATTGTTCAAGTCATGACTGCTCTACTTCTGATCCTGCTCCCTGATAATGGCCTGGGGACTCAGTGGAAGATGGCCCAACTGTTTGGGCCCCTGCCACCCACTTGGGAAACTGGGAAGATACTCCTGCTTTTTGGTATGGCC